AGAAACCAGGCTAACTCAGGAAATGCGAGAACGATTTGCACCGTATGACTTTAACGAAGATGACTAATTTCAATAGATACTGAGCAACATGCAATGTTTTTACTCCAAACATTTTTTATACACAACCACTATCAAAATGAATAAGACATGCAGACTCATTTTCCCAATTATGCCATTGAGACAAAATGTGTCTTTTTTGTAAACAATATCATCATGTATATACAAAACTCATTGTCAGTAAATCTGTTAAACGTAGTTAACTAAAAATAAAGTTTATGAGACGGACGCATGGTTTTCATGGAAGGGAATTATGAATAAAAGCAATATGTTTGTGTAAAACTTAGAACGTACAAAGATTTAGAATTCATATGTAAAATCGAATACACACGAACCATTAAGATTTACAGTGCCGTACACAAATGCCTCAATGAAGAAAAATAATTATGGGTATTATGACAGGTGGGCTGAGGCTTACTTTATGGCAAGAAGAAATATTAAGGTAAGAGACAGATACTATTGAGATATGAAACAAAACGTAAAAGCAATTTGATACAGATGCAAGGAGGATAATTGTCATGTCAGGTCGAGCACGCCTGGAAAGACTGAGATATGTGGGAGTTTGATGAGCTAAACAACGTAATAGGAAAAATACATACATTACATCATAAAATGCCGGCGCGCTCATAACTGAGGTGAAAATTGAAAAACTATAAAATATAAATATACAAGTCGTATTTGAAGTGGGGGTACATTTAAGATGAGGCGAGGTAGAAATCATTTAGGGTATATTTTAAAATCTATACATAAATGGCCAGAATTTTGGTCATTAAAATTAATAAGGTCAAAATTGTACGTTCTAGTAATCCAGAGACCTAGTGTTCTGGAGATCGAGATCCGAAGAGATCTCTCGTCCCAGGCTGGACATTAGCGGTAAGGGCGATATGATTTATATCTATCATTTTTTGATCAGCAACTTGACCTGAAAATATGTCATTGGAGCCGGTAACCTTGATTCCGTCGTAATCACTGGTGGATGAATGTAGTGAAAGAGTCTCACAGAGGGGGTTAATGTAGTGATTGTCGCGTCGGTAGCAATGACTCTGTAAAGCCGGTGATCGTGCAGGGACTGTGATAGGTGAGTGGATATTCATCGTACTTTGCTGTCGTTGGCTGATAGAACAGACTGCAGGTGCGAGACTTGGAGGGAAGCTGGATCGACAGACTGGTAGAAAGGCGCTGTGTTCACTAGGGACAAGGTGACGAATCCGGCTCTTTTTTGGAGAAAATTCGTTGCTCGATTGGGATGCGGTTCTGTTTGATGCGATCAAAAATTGTAAAGTTACGTTTCATACTGTTGCAATTCTATGCTCTTTATGCGTTTTAATTTTAAATTTTGAGAGAATTAGCTGGTTTCACTCTATACTCAAGGAAGTTGATATGGTTTGGCTCTTCCCATTGCACTTTTGCCAATAACAATAATGAATATACCATCCAACTCGAGTCAACGCTTAATAAGCTTTAGTCTATCAGGAAATATTTTTTAACTCTAAGTATTTCTCAATTCAAGAATAATTTATAAATGAAAGACAAGCACGGATATACTAGGATTGAAGAACTGCTACATACATCCGGAGCGACTGTCGGTTTGATCAAATTTTAAAGCCAGTATTCTCTATCACTCAAATTTGTACAAATCAATGAAGGGATTCCTATAAATCCAGTAATTTAGCATATTTTATTTTAGCCGTCTGGCCTAGATAAGGAAAATTGCTCGACTGATGGTATTGTGCTAACAAATAATAAATAAAGGCATCAGTTTTCACCAACAACCATAAAATAATGGAGATGTAAGGAGAAATTTTTACATTTGAGACATAAGCAAAGTATAACCTTTATTGGTAGTATACTTGTTACAGTGTTTAACGGGAGAAAGAGGTGGAGATATAAGTTATCAGAATTGAATGAAGTAAGATAGATTTGGCATCATCATTTATTTCATAGAATCACGTCGATTGTTTTTTAACCATATATGTATGGCTGATCATATGGATAAAATGAGGTTAATATCCAGCCGTGCTAATAATTCAAAATCCATGAACCATTATTTGGGCACGCTATTCTATCTCAATTAGAAGCTCCTAATACTATTTCTCGTTCACTCATGGTCTTGCCATAAAAGTAGCACCAAAGAGATTGCCAAATATGTCTCCTACCTGAAAATCCGCCATCTAAGCAGGCTATCATGACTAGTTGACAGTACATTCACAAAAAAGCAATTCTACTGTGTTGTCCAGGGAGCTGAAGTTTATGTCTCAGAATTGTCTCATCAGAACCCGTTACGGGGATAGAACACAAGTATATCATGAAGTAAGCAGCTATCGATGTCATGAATTTAAGCTCAGGACAGATATCTTACGATTGAGCCACCGACTTTAGCATGACCAATTTTCTCTAGTAGAAATACACTTTTTTGTGAGTCAATTTGGCAACCCAAAGTTATCGAGGCATATAAATTGCGAGTGATGAATCTGGGATCTTGTTGGCTATGGAATCTGTGCACCAGAAAGATGCATGTGATTCGAATTAGTGCATTTGAAATGTAGCCTAATTATTAACAATATTTGGCAAAAAGTAAATTGATCCCGTCATAAGTTAAATAATATAGCAGAACAAATGACTTCCTCTACAACGATTAGATATATATTCTTGTGACTATGGGTCAAATAATGGCAGTTTTTAGTACAGACCGAACTGACGAACGCTAATATGATCTTTATTTTAAATGTCCCCTATATCTAATGATTATATTTCACATACAATCCAGTTTCGAATATCGTTAAGGAGTCTTGATGAGATGTAGGTGAGGTAGAGTCTATAGGATTATAAAAGTATTATTGAAACAAGGCTAAGTAAATCTCAACCATGTTGTGAAGCCTGCTCACCTCACTGCAATAAAGCCAACTATCAGTGCTACCAACCTAAGCGACCAAGTTATAAGTGTGTATTCTCTAGCATAAAAAGCCCGAAAAGTGCATTACCGTCGAAAACAGATTTAGAAGACGTAAACATTTTTCGTTTTATAATTAGGGTTTCGAGACTACCCGCAAATTAAAAATATGAGATGTGATAACCATATTTGGTTTAAGGTGGTAGTTGAAGTGTTCTACAATGATATGAGTGGAGCTGACGCTTCCATTGAGTTTCATATAGCCTTGCATTCTCAACGGGTGTTCTCACTCAGGGTGGATTGCAGTTTCTACCTCGCCTTGGTCTTAGCAACACCCTCAGCGGGACTCCAACCATGATAGGGCAGCGTTCAATCTCGACACGATAACCACAAAGCCACATTGCCACGAGGGCCCCTGTCATGGTTGAAGTCTCGCTATGGTTGTTGATAAGACCTAGACAAGGGCACAACTGCAGTCCATCCTGAATGATAAAACCTTTTGGGAAAGCAAGGCTATGTAAAATTCGATGAAAGCTTCAGCTCTATTCATATCTTTGTGGGAAGCTTCAACTACCAGTCCTTCATTACCTCAAACGAAATATGATAAATACATCTCGTATAATATTAACATTACCTACAAATTTAAATATGAAACAAAATAACGACAGTAAAGATCAATTTTTTGCTTACCTTTTGGTAGCCGCCACTCCACACTCCGGTTCTACTATTTCGTCTTCCTGCATCTGCCCATATGAACTCAGTCGACAGGTGATGGGGCAGATCCGATGATCCAGCGTCCCAGAAAAATAGTTATGCTGATACGGATAGGGGTCTAGCTTATTAAGCTGATGCGATTGCCTCATTCTCACGGTTCCAGTGATTAAATTTCCACTCTCCAAATATCCGGACTCGTCGTCGACGCTACCAGCATGCTTTTCAATCTGAGCCGGTATTGCTGCACCATCGGGCGGCTCTCGCATACCAACAATGCAAGAGCTGGCCAGACGCGGCTGGACCGACAGAGGTAATGGTGTCGGTAGGGATTGCTTGTTATTCGACGGAAAAGCAGGACGCGAAATTGCCACTAAAGCACCCTGTGGTTGTAATATGGGCTCGAGACAGGTGGCCAGGAGTCGAGGAGGATCGGCTGGCTCGGGCATAGGTTGAGTCGACGTGTGCGAAAAAGAGTCGGAAGCCGAGGACGGATGAGCCGTCTTCGGATCGGCGGCTAATGTATCCAAAGAGTGGGCCGGATCAGCATGGCTGATCGGCTGTCGGATATCGTCGCGACGACTCAGGGCTGGTTTTGCCACCGGAGCATTGGAGCAACACGGCCAACCGAGTAAAGCCCGGTGGCCGGCCGAGCTGGCGGCGTGGAGGCAAGCAGGTGTGCCAGAGTCGCAAGGAGGCAAAGGAGTGGGTCGCAGGAAAGTAGTCACGGCCGGGATTCTGGTTAGGCTACTACCATCGAGCATACAGACTCCGACAGACGCAGGCACACAAGCAGAGGCAACAAGTACTGCTGGCGCGGCCAGCCGTACAGACGGCTGGTGTGATAAATCCACTCCAGGTTCTAGCGACCGCACCTCGCCTGAGGGCCGACCAATCACGATGGTCTTTATTCCAGTGTTTGGATGGTCTGCTGCCAGTGTTCTCATTGAACCAGTAGTGGTATGCTCCGGCAAATATACAATGGACTTGGCTCCAGGAATTACAATGTCTCCACGATCCGACCTACATCGTCCTACAAAAGGTGATGGGACGGCGCTTGTAATGCTTGAGCCTAAGCGAATTGTCTCTCTCGCCTCGCAGTGGAGCGGCAATAATGGAGGTGGGCTATCGGGTATAATTGGAGACGTAGAAAGGTCAGAGGGGCCGCATGACACATCCGGAATAGATGGTTCCGTGGTATAACAGCAAACGCCAGAAGCAACCTCGGCGGAGCCTGGTCCCGGAGAATTGTATCGTACTTTTCCTATAGGTGCAGTTACGATTCAGATGGATGAATTAGTTAGAAAGATGGAAAGCCATATCAGTTAAGTGAATAAAAGCCTCCAGGTACCCAAAATAATTTAATATAACAAGACAATTTGGGTTGCTCAGACAACCTGCTTTTACATCATATAGTTTATAAATGCGGTATAGTTTAAAATTAGACGTAATTGAATAGATTACTTAAGAAACAGGAGATGTAGCCGAAAAATATAACTTATTTAGAATGGTGTTAGTGACACGAAACCAGCTATCATTAAATAAGCATTACCTAGAGGTTTTTTGTATTAGAAACGGATGTGCTTTTCAATA